AGATAAAATGCAGCTCAGAGGAGACCGTGCTTTTTCTGTGGCAGCTCCTAAGCTGTGGAACGATCTGCCTCTGAGCAGAAGACAGGCCTCTTCTCTGGCTGTTTTTAAGTCCCTTCTTAAGACTTATATTTTTTCCTTGTTTTTGGCACAATTTGAGAGGTTTTACTTTGTTTTATTCTTTTTGTATACTAACATGTATTTTACACTCGTTTTTTTTTTTCAATTTTATAATTTTATTGTATTTTATGATTGTGTACAGCACTTTGGTTCTGTCCGGTGCATAAAGTGCTTCATAAATAAAGCTGGTATGGTATGGTTGTAGAGATTATTGACCACGGGCATCAATCTCTACATAAAGGGGTTTAATAAAGTGTCACCCTATGGAAACTAAAAAGAAATCCAAACTTAACCTGTTTAAATCCTTCTTGGTCTACCACCTCAAATCATATCAAATAAATGTTTTTGGGTGTAAGGTACGGAAAGGGGGTGGATACTTTTGCAAAGCTCCATAAACCACTAAAGTCAGGTTTTTTCCAGTATAGCTGGAATCTTTAAGTGAACTATAAAACTACATGAATTCCTTTCACCTTGTTGATTTCTAAACCAATTATTTAGCACAGCCCATGCAACAACCACCCAAGCTTGGCCAATATGTTACCTGCTCTAATTTGCTTGAATACTTCATGGCACGAACACTTCGCCTCCAGAAAACAACCCAAAGCCCATTTCCCAAGAGCGGACAGCCTTTAGGAAAGGATTGAAGGATACACCCGAGGGGCTCGGAAAGAAAAAAGAAAGCAGGGAGAAGGAGAGATGGAAGGATCAGAGAGCAGCAGTAAATAATGTTACAGTATGAATAATGAGCTCCCTCTGTGCCAGGCTCTCAGCTCAACTAATGACAGAGACCTGGTTTAGATTAAGCTCTGCACACAAATACACATTCCTGCGTGCGTGGAGCGAGTGGCATAGATTCAGAGGAGAGATCCGGTGGGAACAGATATCTGCATTCTGCTGTGGGACAGCTGACATTCAGACTGCTGGAAAATCCATCCTTTACTTTGGATGTTCAACTTTCTGCCTCCCATTTCTCCCAGTTGGTCTCTCTGTTCATTTCTGTGAGAAATCTGTAACCGGAGCCCTTGTTGTTAAACAGTGGTTTAGTCCCCCCCCCACCCACAGCAAAAGAAAACAACTTGATAACAACTTAAAGAGCAAATCATGGTGCAACACCGCCACCTGCTGGCAGTAGTGGGAAAATGCTTTTTTTAAGTAATTGGTTTCAATGTTTTAGGGTCACGTAACATGAATAATCAATCTTCCATAAGTTAAAGATTGAAAATTAAATTCTGTTTAAAGCAGTTTGTTGTCTGCCTGAACAATAAGTATACATGTCAGAGCTACTGTCAAGTAAAGGCAGATCAACGTAAGAACGTCCAACTTTATTCAAAAAGGTAACATCAAATAAACGAAACATGTTTATATTTGATTTCATTATTTGTTGAGGATGTTTCACTGATTTCATTCAGGAAAGGTAGCGTCTGAACAGACGGATGATGCTGCAGCCACATCTAAAGCAAACCCTGGTTTTAGTTCATGTGCATAAAGATTCTTCCTCCGTCAAACTATTGAGGTTCCAAAGTCTTTCCAAGTGTTGCTTGAGGATCCGTTCACCCTCCGCTGCAGCTGGAGAGTCTAACTGGTGAAGAGAGCGGAGGGCAGTGCAGGGAGGCACCAAAACCAACAATCTTCCTGCTCTTCTCTTCCTCATCGCTTCTCCAGTTTCTTAAATCTGGCTTCTGTAAAGAGAAAAAAAAGCAGAATATTTCCCTTCCATAAATAAAAGTTTGTTCAGACTTTGAGAATAAACGAATACCTATTCTAAAATAGACAAAACCTTCCTAGAATGCCATCCTATAAAAACTACCGTAATTTACATCTACTGTGCAGAGGTTTCAAAAGTATTAATGTTTTTTACTCAAGTAGGAGTATCAGGGTTCCTACAGCATAAGGCAAGTTAAATTCAAGACTTTTTAAGACTTTTTAATGCCACTTGAAATAAAATTTAAGACCATATTCACAAGAAAGACAAGAAAATCCTGCTTGCTACAACTTAACCCAAAGGTTTATTTTAACATAAACCACTGCACTAATGTTTCAAGTGTTGAAAAGCTTCCCAAACAGGAAGAAAGCTAAAAACACACAAATGACAGATATATTTGAACAATTATTTAACTGAATTCACAAACTTTGTTTTAGCAGGGAACAAAACAAATCAGTTTTAAAGCCCCAACATAACCAGTGCTAAGTCTTTTTAGCAGCTATTTTTCTTTGTATGGTTTTCTTAGTATGTTTGATTTGGTGATAAGTGGAGGCGTTGCAGAGACAAGGGTGGAACTAAACTGAGAAATACCGGCTGTTTCTCTGTAACTCCATTTTGACGCTTTGTGTTTCGTGCTTCGCATGTGCGACTCCACTGCCTTAATTCCCATCGTTCTGAGCTTGAATCTCTTCTTGCACTAAATCCACTGAGCCTCATGTATGTTCCCTGGTTTTAGCCATGGAGAAAACTCTTGGCTGGAGACAATTTTGGTTCCATTTACACTTGCTCAGATTTTCCAGACAAAAACTTAATGGTGCATCTCCCAAATGTCCCGGCCGCAACAACGCTTTATTGGTTCCGCTATCGGGACGGAACCAATAATGGCGAGTCGTTATTTATTTATTTTTTTTATAAAAAATTAAAATAAAAAATGTCAATGTTAGCATTTTATTTAGATTACAAAAATAAATCATAATAAAAATAATCCTATTTATGATGTTTTAAAAATTAGACCTATGAAAGACTGATTTAAGACATTTTATACCAATTAAGGCCTTAGTTTTATTTTGAAGAATTCAATGCCTTTTAAGACTTTTTAAGGACCCGCGGGAACCTTGAGTATAAATCCTACTTTATAAAAACACTTTTGTAGAAGTTAGAGTATCAATGTAATCTTTTTACAAAATTAAAAGTATGAAAGAACCATTTTTTTTTTTATTACTTTAAGTGTAAAAGTAATGCAAGAAAAAATGTTAAGGCCAGAAGCTTTACTGCAGTACCCTATTAAAGGAACATCTATCCATCTTCTTCCTCTTTATTTCAGGCGACACCAGGCCAGCTCAGAGACATTGTCTTCCAGCGTGTCCTGGTCCTTCCACCAGGCCTCCTCCCTATGGGACATAGGGGGCCTGGGGGAGGCGACCAGGAGGCATCCTGAGCAGATGCCTCAGCTGGCTCCTTTCAACATGGAGGAGCAACGACTCTACTCCGAGCTCCTCCTGGGTAACTGAGCTCCCCACCTGATCTGGAAGGGTGCGCCCAGCCACCCTGTGAAGGAAACTCATTTAGGCCGCTTGTATTCGTGATCTCGTCCTTTCGTTTAATGTTTAATGAAACATTTTTCTACAATTCTGGATGATAACTTCCTTAGACTTTATTTTCTTAGTTTTATAACTAATGGTAAATGTGTCAAATTTAACTTTGCATCATCTGGAAAAACGATTTATTTTGTTGGGGCAGCACCGAGTCGAACCACAAAGAAATTATCTGGATGAAACTAATTATTTTGATAGTTTTTATTTTTTTAAAACCCCAACAGGCCATAAATGAAAATGAGCTTAAAGGAAACTAAACTAACGAGTCTATTTTTAGATTGTAAGGAGTAGAAAGTAGAGATAATTGCAAAAGGAAATTTAAGAAGTATAAGTAAAAGGTTGCCTAAAAAAAATTATTACTCCAGTAAAGTATAGATAGCCAAAATATGTACTTCGGTAAGGTAACAAAGTATTTGTGTTTTTTACTTGACACCTCTGCTATTGTATCCTATGTGTACATAGAAATGTAAAAGTAGTTAGATAAGTAAAGATAAATGTTGTCGGGGTCCATCTGGTGGCGTAGGAGCCTTTGTTCTGTCAGATGAGCATCACCGGTCAAAAAACTAAAGTCGTAGGGAAGCGGCTGTTCCAACCGTTGCATTTCCGAATTCTCCCGAGTGGTGCACGATTTGACACGAGAGATAAAGTGAATGTGATTGGTCGTTTATGGAA